TTTTCTCTTTGTTTGCCGCCCATTTTCCTCTCTGTACAATTCTTCAGTTAAATAGGCCTACAAGTTTGGCACTTTAATGAGAAAGATAGTTTGGCATTGTTCACTTAAGTAACAAAATTTTATAGACTTTCGAATATGCTCTTATGAGGTTTGGTTGCTTCTAGTAGTACTTCCAAAGATTTTTAGTAATTATAAAGTCCTTTTGAATTTGACTATTTATATTTTGTTGATTTTTTATATTTTGTAAAGATGATTTTAACCCATAACATAGTGAGTTAATGTCCATTCTCATAATTTCTTCTTAAAAAACCATGCTAGTGCATTTCTTACCTAAAATAACTTGTCTAAGCCCTGGTTTGATACTGAGATGCTTCTGAAAAAAGCGGGTATCAAAAAATTTGGTAAACATTCAACTACAGCTTTTTTTCACAGTTTTGGATGAAAAAAAAAACAAAAAACACAAAGCTGCAAAACCCAGTTTTGAAAAACCGGCTTTTTTGGCTTGCCTAGCTTCTACACAAACCGATTTCGCAAGAGGCGTTGAGGCCTTTAATGAAATTTTCCAATACCCAAAATGGCCTTTAGCAATTAAATAAATGATACATTATACTCGTCGACTTCATCGCCGACTCCACCACGTCTCTCTTCTGTCCTCTCTGTCATAATAAAAGAAAGGGAACTTTAACGAAAAGCTCCCGGTACTGTTCACTTTAACGAAAAACCATATTTTTACACTAAAAAGTCAATCCTGATACTATTCACTTTACCCTTTATTTTGTCCTTATCATTAAAACTCAAAGTTTCCAAACCCTTTTCATTAGTTTTCCTTAAAAGAAAAGATAAAAAAAATATTATATAATATTCAACATCATATCTTTTTTAGCCATTTTACATTGTCGTAACTGTTTTACATAAAAATTTACCAAAAACTTTAACACTACTTTTTTTGCTAAAAGCACTTTTACAAAAAAAAAAAAAAAAAAAAAAAAAAAAGTTTACCAAACACTCTACTGCTTTATTTCACAGATGTTTATTCTCATAGCATAGCAAAAGTAGTTTTTTTTTTTTTTTCAAAACACATCAATACCAAATCAACACTAAATGGCATCAACCATGTACAGGAAGAACAATTGTTCCCATAGCCATATGTAACTTTTGCTGTTAATGGTACCTTAAAAGCATTTTTAGATAATCCAGCCCTCTATTTCCTTTTATACATAAATTTTTAGGCATCCCTCAAACTCAATGCTTCTCTCGCACATCCAAAATACACAGATATGAAGACATTGACAATTTTGTTGATTTTCGCATTCCCCACAATCTGTGAGGGTGCTACTTTCTGGGTTCCAACGGATGTTAAAATAATCAACGGTTTGAGTCCGCGGACAGATCTTAACGTTCGTTGTAGATCCAAGAACGATGATCTAGGCTTGCACTCTCTTCGCCCCGGAGGCAGCTTCGAGTTTCGTTTCAGGCCTAACTATTGGAGGACTACACGATTCTATTGCAGCTTTCGATGGAGTGGCCAATTTCGTCGGTTCGACATTTTCGTACACAAAAGGGATGATTGCAGGCATTGTACATGGATGATCAGAACTTTAGGCCCGTGCAGGTGCAACCAAGACAACAAAAACTACGATAAATGTTATCCGTGGGACAAGGATTAAATTTGGAGGGCGCATAACATGACACTAAGGGTTGTTTCCCAAATTTTGTTCGTCTTTCTGTTTTTCCTTGGAATTTGGCAGAGAATTTTCAATTCCGACTTTTTGCACCACGGGAACCTGAGTTTTTATTGCATCGCCCCGTCGACCTTCATTTATATACGAGCAAAAATGTGCTCCAATTTCACATGCGCTGCTCGATCATAGGAGGCTGACCGCTATCAGGTAGATAATCAGCGTACATGGCAGGCAACACACTTTCAAAATTTGTTAAACTTGCTCACGTAAATAGAAACAACTTGCGTAAGCTGCTTCATCTATCAAATGTCGCCTATCATCCATGACAATATACGAAAACGCTACGTTTATATTATGAAAAGGAGGCAAGCTGAGAGGAAAACAAATAAATACTACAAATTTCTTGTTTTGTTCCGAACGGAAACAAAATCACTGCAGAAAAGTTTCACGAATTTAAAAGTTACATTACAGTCATGGACATTATCTGGCGAGCAAGACCGGGATCTTGGTTCAATAGCTCCCTCAAGTTGCTCTCCACCTCTGCAACCTGTTTCTCGATATATTCCTTTGAAGTCTGTCCAGAGCAGGAAAGAAACAATTTAATTCCAAAAAAGTCCAGAAGATGAGTAATAACAAGAAAAGAGTTTGCAAACTTCTAATCTGCACGAATGGAAAGATATAAATCCTGATATACAAAAGAAATTGAAGCCTATGGCAATCCCAATAACACACTTATCCCCACAAACCCTCCGCTTCCTCTCCCCTATAACTTTCAATAATCATTTGTTTTTTTCTTTCTGGGCCTCCCACTCAATAGCTTCCATGTTCTTGCTCTTTTGCGCCTTCCAAAAGAAAATGTTTTCGGCAAACAAAGAAATGCACAATTTGGGATCATCCATACTGTAATTCATGAACGTGATAAGAAAAATTTGTACACTAGTTTATACTATTACTCCAGCATGGTTGTTGTTCGCTAGCTAAATGTCAACCAACAAGTCACTACATCTTCAGGAAAACTTGCTTAATTTTTCACCTTCTAAAAACAACAAAGGCTTATTGCTTAATCTTCACCTTCTGAAAACAATAAAGCCTCCCAGGAGATAACCTACGTCTTAGCCATACGAAACAAAACAAAAGGTGCAAACACACTATAAAGGAAGAAAAGGGGCCATTATTATTCAAATGAAAGCAAAGATATACCTGGAGCGAGGCTATTGCACTCTCACTATCCTTGAGCTTTTGTTCCTGTTCATTCATCAACACCGACTTCGGCTCTAAAACAAACCTGCCCACCATAAAGTAACAGAATGTATCGTCAGAGAGTATATCAGACAGCACCCAAATCAACAACAAGACCCGAACTACTCCATCTAATTTTACGTTTAAAACCGGCAACGAAACTCACGTTCTCCCTGCAAAACAGATTAAACCCAACAAAATTCATCAAATTTAAACCCTAAAAGCACTATCAAATTTAAATATCAGAACCCAAAAGAACCGGATCAACTTTTTTTCCCCAAATTAAGACTGAGAACAGAGAAAATGGGTTGATTGAAATGAAGTACCTATAGATTTGTAAGTATTTGAATCATCAGATAAAGGCCGCAGCTCCTCCAGGGTCAGAAAAGCACGCTTCTTTTCTCCTTCTTTGTTCCGCATCTGCGTCTGCACCTGAAACCCACCTCAATTCTCAACCAATAAGTTCAATTTTCACCGTGTGTTTATGATTTATTAATTAAAAATAATACGGATGAAAAAAAACCTGCTTCAATTTCGCAGTAAGCTCAATCATGCGGCCTTGAATCTCCATGAACGCCTGCAAAAATTTGATTGTTCTGGTAAGTAGAAGCGAGCAAGATACAGGTGAAAATCGAAAGAGATGGAGAGACAGAGGGGACTTACAGCTCGGTTGGCTTCGTCGGCCATTTTTGCAAGATTGAAGCTTTCTGAGTCGGAGCGCGAGGGAGGCTGAAAATCAGAATTCTCAACTCGCTACCCATCTTCACTCGTCAGTGATGATTTGGTAAATGGGTTTTGGGTATTTGGGTCGGGTTTGGCCCTTCTATAAATCCATTGGCCCAAATTAGTAGAGGATGCCTGCCCGTGAATTCATTGGTGGGGTGTCAAAATCTTCCTAGCGTGTCTTTGTTGCATGCTAAACGCGTTATGTTTTTGCTGGTCAAAAATCAATGATTCAACACCCATGACAGCCATCTGGCGCACTCGCGACCTGTCTGGTTATGCATGTTCAGCTCATAATGCATTAATTAGTAAATTTTGTTAAAACTTGGTAGAAAATATGATCTCCTCTTTTATAAGTGAGTAGTGTAATAAATAGTAGATAGATTGTTTGAGCAATTAGAGAATTTCAAGCTCGTATTCCACATAGAACAACTTGGTGCTAATGAATCATATATCGGCCAGAAAGAGGCTAAAATATTCATGTGAGTCTTTCTAACTTCTGAAATGATGGACTATCGTAACGAAAGTATTAACTAATTATTCAAGAAAAAAGGTTAGTAGCATAAATGTAAGAATAATACACTTTCTTTTGTTTATGATAGTGATTGAGAATTTTCTTCGAATGTCCTTGAATCACGTATGAATGAATCATATGATTGAATCATAAATGACAGGGTTATTGGCTTATTACCATTTTGTACACCATCGATTTTACAACTCATAAAAACAAGGACACGTCGCACCTAAAGTGGAATAAAGCAAACAGGTAAGAGGAATATGCGAAACAAATACTTCACGCCAAAAGAACAAGAAAGTGGCATAGTACCTTGTCGGATTCTTGTAGGCTCATCCTAATTCCTAAGTGGGTGCCTCCTCTTACAGTTCCATTTTCCTAGTCATTTGGCGGTTAACGATTCAAAATCCTATACTGTTGGATTTGTTAATCAATGTTTAAGATTAAAATATGAATCAATTTACACTTCACATTTTATCTTAAATCAAAAGGAATTGTCATAATATTTTAATTATCCGGTGATTAATATGATAACCAAGACAACGTCTCTTTAGTGTTATAAAAAATGAAAATTAGTATATATTTTCCACGCTAAAAATAAACGCTTAGGGCTTTTCAATATAGTCTTTTGGGTCAATTCAACGAGACTGGTAAGCTGTTGTCGAAGACTTGGCAAAACACAAAACAAAGTGACAGAACATTGCAGTGGTTGAATGAATTGGACTAAAACAAATAACCCCAAAAGGACAAAAACACACAATCCATCTTTGAATTTCGATTGACAAAAAACCCCAACTCGGATTTAAGATTTGGAGAGAGAGAGAGAGAGAGAGAGAGAGAGAGAGAGAGAGAGAGCCAGAGAAGGAGAGAATTCTGAGAAAGGAAAGGAGACAGACCGACCAGAAAAGCCATTGTTTTTAGAGATTGAAGCAATTCGGAGTACGTCTGGTTTGGCGCTTTCTTCGCCCCAATGCCCTCCAAGCTTGACAAATAAGGACCAAATCTTTCTCTCTCTTCAAAAAATAACTTACCCTCTCTCTCTCTCTCTCTCTCTCTCTCTCCCTCCCCTTTTTCACCGCTTTCTCTCTCCTCCCTATATTTATCTTCTCCTTTCTTCATCCTTTGAGTGGCTTTCTGGTGGCCCAAGAAAAACAAACCAAAACACACACAAAAAAAGGGCACAAAGTCTATCTTCGTTTCCCGGCGAACCCACATCGGAAAGTTCGTACTTGTGCTCCGACCCAGATCCAATCCGGACCCGAATTCCAACCCCACATTGACAATTGATAGATGAACCCACATTAGATATGTATGTGGGTCATTGAAGCTTTTCAGTTGTCAATGGTAATAGTTGGAGGAAGGGAACGGGTTGACATGTAAAACCGGATTCGGGTGCGGACGCGGGCTTGGTTTTCAGATTCATGGGGATTTGTTTCAGTTCTGAAAAGGACCAGCATTCCAATTATACACACGCCAGTCCTCAAGGTATTATTTATTGCATCATACAATTTAATTTCACATTTATTTCTGTAAAAAAACATGGAAAATGGATAATGTTGCTTGCTGCCTTTAGATGCATTTTGCAGTTTTTGAACTTTTTTATTTTAATTACCATATTAATTTTTTGGGGGATCTTTTTGGTCTCCTGGAAATGCATGACACAATGGCAGGGAAAATTTTGGGTCTTCTTGCATTTTTATAAATTTGGTTTTTTAAGAAACAAAGTTTTTGGTTTTTAGTTTTTGTCATTTGTCGCATTTTCTAACGAGGCGAACGGATTTGAAGCGTTTAGTGAAGTTAGTGGATACTTTTTTGATGAAACATCATAGGATTTTCATGTTAGAGTTTATTGTGGTTTCCTTTTTCGTGTGTTCTTTAGAAGTCGTAAGTATTTTGTCACATGAAAGTAAGTTTACTTCTTGAGTACGGTTCTGATATACGTGAAGTGTATTTAAGGTTCATTCTCTGCATTTTCTGCGGCCAAAACGATTTGTTCTTCACTTTCCATGTTTCAAAATTTTCGATCGTTTCTATTGGTGATGTGTTGTTGTTGTTGTTGTAGGATTCATACAGCCAACCCCACTTAGTGGGATAAGGCTCTGTTGTTGTTGTTGTTGTTGTTTCTATTAGTGGATATACAAAACAACTGTTAGAGATGAATTTGCTGAGAAGAAACCAGAAATACCTTTCTTTCTATGTTAGTATAATGTTCAACAAAATTAGTGATGTGGATTTTTCGGAAATATTGGGTAACTGATAGAATCACTTTTCTCTTCTTGCGAAAAAATTCAAATCAAGTAGGAGATGACTCTGTTGTATCTCAAACTCCTAGTAGAACATCATCAAACACCACTCCTTTGGCTTCCAAGAATGTCAAAGACCTTCGCCAAAGCCCCGGATATATCAATGTCAGCATCTTTACTTACGATGAGATGAGTTTGGCCACAAAACGTTACCGGCCAGATCTAATTCTTGGTGAGGGTGGGTTTGGAGTTGTATATAAAGGAGTTATTGATGACACCGTGAGGGCTGGATACAAGACCACGCAAGTTGCCATCAAGGAGCTTAATCGAGAAGGGTACCAAGGTGATAGGGAATGGCTGGTATTTGACTTATCTTACCCTTTTATCTTATTTAATTTCTGAGAAATGAGTCTTTACTGTAGTCAATTTTTGAAGTGGTGCAAGTCAAAGGTTTTATACGTGGTTTCCATATCATTCATACAAGTTGCAGTGCACATTAACATTCTCCCAAGCAGTCCCCATTTCCCTTCCACTTCTCATTTCGTGGTCATGGTAGGATAGTACACACCTTTACTATCGGAATGAATTTAATCTAGCATGTTTTAGAATTGGTTATTCCCAAAAGTTATTTTTGGAGCAAAAAAATGAAACATGTATGGCGTGTTGCGTGTTTTTCTTAATAGTGAATTGGCTATTTGGGGTAAAATCAAAGATAGATATAAGCGAGAGAAGTTTATTTTAAATTTGTATTGCAAGGATCTTCTCAAGGAGAGAAAAATATGAAAAGTCATGGCCTGTGAATTGGCTTTAGAAATGAATACAGTAGATGATATTCTCGCTTAAACAGGTATCATTCTTTCAACAATTCCTAGTTCAGTGGACAGGAATGTTGGAAACCACTGAGAGACTTTATCATCTGATTTCTATTAACATTTTTTATATGCATAAAACAAAAACAAAATTTGGTCCTTTTTTCATTGATTGTTGGTCTTGCAGGCAGAAGTTAACTATCTGGGACAGCTGAGTAACCCTAATCTTGTGAAGCTGATTGGGTACTGCTGTGAGGATGACCATCGGCTACTGGTCTATGAATACATGGCAAGTGGCAGCCTGGAAAAACATCTTTTTCGCAGTAAGTGTCTTATGCCATCAAAATTTCGTGGGATGTTGAGGAAATGATGTCTTATGCCATCTATTTCTCAGTTTTTTTCATCCCTAATCCCTATGCTTCAACATATCATGTACCACCTTTTAGTATTTCTTGTATTCTTGTCTTTCCTTTTTGGGTAGTCTTTATTCTATCTTTCATTGGCTTTCCCACACTCTTTTAGGTGGGCTTCTAGAATTAAATGTCTTTCACGCTCTTAATAATGTTAAAAGTCAATTGTTGAGTTTGACTCGTATCATTTTCTTCTTATCTTTATGCTAAGGAGGTAATTGGAGCAATGGTCCTTGAACTTTAGTCCAACTGGAGCTTTTGTCCCTAAACTAAAAGTTTGTGAGTTTTGCTCCCTTTGTAATAATGTGGAGCAATGATCCTTTTAGCTAACTTTGTTAGAACATCTACATTTTTTGTCCTTTCAAAACCCTTTCTTACGGAGTTAGCCAAAAGGACCATTGCTTCACATTATAACAAGTTCAGGGACCAATAGTCATGGATTTTTAGTTCAAGGACCAAAGCTCCAATTTTCTCTTATGCTAATACTTATTTTCTTCTTATATTCTTCATTTTACATATTTGTTTCACTTCAAAATACTTGTAAACTTAAAACCTGTGAATGGAGATTGACACTTTTTCATCCTCCTTTATTTTTATGTTGGCCATGAAATGACATTTATTAGATGTGAACAAGTGTTTTGTGACCGGAAATGTTTCCATTTGTTCAACATCTGGAATGTTATGGATCATTGCTTATACCAAGTATGCTGCAGGAAGTGTATTGAAAATATTAATCTTCTCCAAACTGCACATTGATCCACCAACTGCTAAGATATCTCAAAATTACTGTATTATAAATATTCGATTGGGTGTTCTATTTGATACCGTTGACACGTGAAGAACTTACTGGATATTGTGTTCAATTTTGAATACCATCGATAGAACATTGTGCCTCATTTGCTTAATGTCATAATCATTTCTTTTGTTTTGGGTCGAAGGAGTGGGCTGTACGCTTACATGGTCAAGAAGAATGAAGATTGCTTTAGATGCCGCAAAAGGGCTTGCTTTTCTTCATGGTGCAGAGAGACCAATCATTTACCGCGACTTCAAGACTTCAAATATCTTGTTGGATGGGGTTAGTTGTCTTCTCATTGTTATCTTTTACATTGTGTTCATAACTGTTGAGCATCTAACTTGAGGTGCATTTGGAAAAATTTAAAAGAAAATAATTTTCCAATGAAACCCAAACCAGAAGATAAACTCCACATGGACACTAATTGTCATGATTCTTTATCAATTTCTGGCAAACGAAGAGTGGTATTTTATGATTGAATACAATTATGCATGACTAGGAAAATGAGTGATTTCTTGTGATTAAATTATGCTGGTTGTTTTTACTGAAATTAAATGATAATATGCAGGATTTTAATGCAAAGTTGTCAGACTTTGGCCTTGCAAAGGAAGGGCCAATGGGAGACCAAACCCATGTTTCAACACGAGTGATGGGCACGTATGGATATGCTGCTCCCGAGTATGTTATGACTGGTGAGTGGTTTCATGCCACCGATTTATATGATAAAACATTATTCTTTTCTTGATGGAAACAGACGATTATTGCAGTGGTTTCTCAGGGCATCTTTGTAGTCCTTCATTGTTACACTTGGTTGACTAAAATCGCATCATATGCAGTGGTTTTCATCATGGTTTGAAGGAAAAACTTAAAAGAAAGTCATATTTGAATATCGATAAGAAGAATCCCGTTTCTCTCTTCCTCACTCTTGTGTTCTCTCTCCATATACATAAAATTGATGAGTCAGTGCTATTGTATGAATGCTTATGTAGATGAAACAATATCTGTTTCAAGCCTATCTCAACTTGGTTTTCATAGCATTATACCTTATAACAAGAAATATGACATAATTCCTTATTGTTGGTAATATTTACATGATAGTATATCATGACTAAGTATTAATTTGATCCAAACAGGGCATTTAACCGCTCGAAGTGATGTTTATGGATTTGGAGTGGTACTACTTGAGCTGCTCCTTGGAAGGAGAGCAATGGACAAGAGCAGACCCGGGCAAGAACACAACCTGGTTGAGTGGGCTCGCCCACTCTTAAACCATAATAAGAAACTTCTGAGGATCGTAGACCCTAGACTGGAAGGGCAGTACTCACTTAAAACAGCAATGAAGGTGGCCCATCTGGCATATCAATGCCTTAGCCAAAACCCGAAAGGGAGGCCCCTTATGAGCCAGGTGGTTGAATTGCTCGAGTCTCTTCAGACAGCAGGAAACCATGAACTTCAAAGTGGAGAAGGTGGTGTGACTCTTTATGAGGCTCCCAAGGGAACCTTTGGAACTACCCCCATGAAGAGAGACCCGAACAGAAGAGACGGTGAAAGGGGAGGAGAGGCACATAGGAGGAGCAAACCGGGAAACGGAGGGAGCAAGAGTGAGCCTATGAATGATTTTGATCGTAGTAACTTGTCTCCAAATTTTTGTGTCACTTGAAAAGTAGCTCCTACGTACGTTAAACTTGTAACTAGATAATGGATGGAGGGTTGAAACTGTACAAGATGATATCAGCTGGTCTATCCATGTGGTGTTTTTGAGTTAAATCCATTTGCCGGGGCCGGGCGAAAATTGTTAATTGTGATTAACAATTTAACACTTTGTAATTCATTTTCTTACATTTTACTTTAATCACTATCATATCATGTACGATATGATTTTATATTTTCGTTATATTACTGTAATTTAACACAAGGTATCGTATCATTTGACATTATTGCCCTCACCAAATATGCCTTAAATCGGCCAAGAACTTGCGTATCAGCATAACCATATCTCATGTATTTATGATCATGTTTAACTCTTGAATCTTGATACGTCTTTAGCCTGCATTAATGATGTTCAAATTTACGTTGGTTCAAATGTAATCCAAATTTGTATTTGGCACTTATTTAATGAATACTAGTTTATGCACACACACAACACAAAGTGCCTGAAATTTTTTACTTTTGTTTTTAAAATTAAAACACAGAGGATGAGAGATAATGTGGGAGTGGGGAGAAAGAGGTCTTTTTATTTTTAATTTTTTTATATTAGAGATGTTCAAATCACCTCTAAGTGATGCTTAAACAAAACAAAAACAAATTTAGGTTTGTAAGTTACGTTACTGCCCTTAACTTTTTTTATTGTGATAGAAGACTAAATAGTTTTTTCACCCTCTTTTGATTGACAAAGAGAATTCTATTAATATGTAGTTTAGATAATAAAATTAAATTAATTAATGACCTCAATTATCACCGCAACTAGCTTTATACACACAATAATTGCGTTTAAATTACCGATGAGTTAATCTTTCTTCATTAATAGGTACGCAACTAGCTTTATACACACAATAATTGCATTTAAATTGCCGATGAGTTAATCTCACCTAATCTTTCTTCATTAAACTTAAAAGAAAAGAAGAAGAGACAAACGGAATGTTAGAGCATGTCCAGCCCATGCCCAAAAGTTGAGCAACTAGGCAATTATTGCCCAAAAATTCAAGAAAACTGCTCCAGCCCATAACCTAAAGTAGGGCAATTGAGTGGGCCCAAGCCCGCTAGACAAACCCAATAGGCAATTCGTGCCTGGTCCCTTGTCCGAGTTCTATCTGACGTCAGCATGATGTCAGCTACGCTTTTATTTTTCTTGTGCCAAGCCTGTGCAATACACGCCGGCGGGGTGGTATGTCAAGAGACAAAAAAGAGTCGTGGAGACTGCGATGTAGGCTGTCAACACGTAGTGAAATCTGGGCCTGTGGATTTCCAATGGTCATATACTCCAACGGTCCTTATTAATTAAGAGAGTTTTAACGAAAAGCTCACGGTACTATTCATTTTAACGAAAAACCACATTTTTACAATAAAAAATCAAACCTGGTACTATTCACTCTACCCTTTATTTTGTCCTTATCATTAAAACCACGGTACTATTCACTTTAACGAAATTGAAAACAAATTGAAAATTTTCAAAAAATGAAAGAAAAGGAAAGTGACCAGTGTGCCCATGTGGCACAATCTGATACACTTAATTGAAATAATCTAACAGTCATATTAATTTGGTTGGAAAAAATTTCTACACACAAAAACAACAAAGCCTTACTTCACTAAGTGAGGTCGGTTGTATGATTTCTAAAACGTCATTACGCTCAATTTTGTGCCAAGTCTTCCGTTAGATCCAATTACTCGAAGTTTTTTCTTAGAGTCTTTCAAAGTCTTTCAAAGTTTTCTTAGGTCTTCCTCTACCCCTTTAGCCCTAAGCACTCTATCTCGTAATAGCATCCTTTAATTGGAGCACACGTAGGTCTTCGTTTCACATGTCCAAACCACCTTAATCTATTTTCTCTCATCTTATCTCAATTTTAGCTACTTCTACTTTACCTCGGATATCACTGAAACCTTAATCATGTCATTTCTCGAGTGTCCACAAATCTAATGAAGCATTCTCATCTCCTCTACACTCATTTTGTGTACCTATTGATGTTTGATCGGCCAACATTCCGTGCCATAAAGCATTGATGGCCTTATTGTCGTCCTATAAAATTTTCCCTTAAGTTTTAGTGGCATACAACAATCGCACAACATACCTGATGCATCCATTTAGCATGTAATCTATGGTTAAGTTCTCCATCTAAATCTCTATTATTTTGCAAGATAGATCCAAAATAGCGAAAGCGTTCACTCTTTAAAAAATAAATTAAACTAAAAAAATAGAGAAATTTTTTTAAATGTAATTTCAAATAATGACACTGTGGTGATAGGATTGGTTAAAAATTATGTTAAAAATTAATTTGGTTAGAAAATAATGTTGAAAATTATAAAAATACAAAAAAATGGAAATGTTTTTTTTAAACATTTCCTATAAATACCCAACCATACTCTTTTACAAAAATTGTAATTTCGAGTAATGACACGTGATGTTGACAGAATTAGTTAAAAATCCTATTTAGAATTAATCATAACATTATCTTTTTATAAATTTAAAAAAAAAATGCAAATTGCACGAGCAATTAATTTGCGAGATGAATATGCACTTAGACAATTAATATTCACCAAGGCAATAATTGTATATTGCCCAATTACCCGTGGACTCGCTTTTATGCTTTTTTCAACAACAACATCGTCATATCCCACTAAGTGAGATTTGCTTTTACGCCCTTATGCTTTTCAAGATCAAAAAAATAAATTGATGTGTATTAAAATGGAAACTTCAACGCCGCTGAGTCGCTGACAACAGAAAAACTCTTGGTTTTCATTACACGACAGAGATAACAATGTGCACATTAAACTACGTACTACAGGAAAGGAAATTCTAATCCAGACTAAGATTCTAAATGACCGCACTATCAACCCTCGTCTGGCTAAAATTGTATAAACACCACTTCAAATTGCTAAAACAACAAATTACCAATTGGAATCTGCAAGTTCCATAACATCATAACCTTGGTTCGTTATCCGATTATCATGAGCATTAACCTGCAGAAGTAGGAAATCATCGTTAGCGAAGGCATGTCGACGGATCATTTTTAGAATCTGCACTCAAATTTCAAGTGTTGAGATGAAATTACCCCATAGATGGTGCAACTTCACAGCTAACTGAGTGACAGATCTTCTCTCTGAAGGATTGGAAAATTCCATATTCACAGCTTCCTCAATGGAAGACAAGAATTCATGTTTTGCTTTCACTGGCAGGCCAAGGTAGTTTGGTCCATGCGAGGTGCTCAAGTCAGCAATCTAAACGAGTGAAAAATCATCTTAAGCGTTAACATTTCAATTTGGAACACATGTCAGTTTCCAAGTAAAAATTACGTTGCATATATCATGTATGAAAGCACTTGCCTGCTGCAACCAAGGAATTACGGTGTTGATAAACCTTTGTTCTAGGAGATATGAAGTTAAAGTGCTGAGAACATCCCTGGCAGTTTTAGGCGACAAACATTCCAGAACAGGACCAGTTCCATCAAGAAGCTCAACCAGAACAATTTCATCACCCGAACAAAGAGCTTCCACATATGCAGAGTCTAGGTCCCCTTCACATAGGAAACCTTTCACTTGTTTCCAGAGGTTATTCTTACTTTCTACAACATTTTGTCTAACTTTGGCATTAGAAGCTGAAGAAAACATAGCATCTGTCCTTATTTGACCATTACTTAACCTCTGTGTTCCCTGCCCAGGAATTTTCCTGATGTCTTTCCCAGTAGGATTCCTGGTAAGCTTCCCCATATTGTTACTCCATGTCTCTGCACCATGTCTTACAGAATTGTTTGTTCGGCTCCTGCCAGTTGTGTTTTCCACCCAAGTATCAGAATGTTTCACGGACAACATTGAAGGCTGTCGGCTGGTTATATCCATAGATGGCCTTGGAGTGCTTGTGGAGAGCCTTGGAGAATGCAAAGTTTGGCTCTGTTTCATGAGTTTGGAGGTTGCTAAATTTGAATGGTCCCTCTTGTGTTCAAAGTTCTGAGCTAACCGGTCCACAACATCCTCTAGACCCACCACCCTTGTTTGTAAGACAGACAAGCTATCCATTATGCCCGATGTAAACACCTGTTAACAAAGTTTAAACCAAGAAAAATAGAGGGTTTAGAATATATAGAGAAGAAAATACGTATATTCTAACTTCTGAGCAATATTGTGTCAAAATGACCAGCATATCAGAGTTTTTCTCTAGGAGTTTTACACAATCGGTGCAGCTACTAACATACATGCATGTCTTTATGTACCTGTAAAAGATCCATTAAGTTTGACTGCTTGGTTTCAATCTCCACAAGTTGTTTTCTAATGCAAACCACTTCATTGACCATTTGCGAACAACACCCATGTGGAGCATGGGAACTAGATTCTGTCATAGTTGAATCCAGACTTCTACGGTCACGTATCCTTTCAGAGTACATCTGTTTCTCACTACCACCAATCTCTTCAGCTGAAAACTGTTGATTTCTTCCCGCTGGCTTCTGCAAACCACCCTTGTCACTGCTATGAGTCACAAACTTTCCCTCTAAGTCATCAGTGACAAGATTTGACCCAGAAGAACACTCTTGTTTATCATCCATAGGCACATATTCATATCCATTGTCCTGTGTGTTTGTAACATCTGTACTCGTCCTTTCTAAAGTCTTTGTAATAGAGCTACCCTCAGATTCTTCATTCTGAAATTCGGGCAAACAAGCATTGTGGGTCTTTGGAACTGCAACTTCAAAATGCCAATCATCTTCACTGGAGCGTTGATGACTTTCCCCATAACTTGGACATGTTTTTCTAATGGACAAAGGAGCTCTGCTCTTAATTAAGCCAGTAACAACTTTCTTGTGGGCGAGATCCTTCCGTCCAGATTCACTGGCACTAGTAATATCGCTGTAGTCACCACCAAAGAAATTTTCTGAAGAAAATTGGTATAAGCATTATGAGAAGTAACAGGGATAGCACAGTTAAAATTCTGCAGAACTACAAAAGAAAAAGAATGACATCTTTATTAATTAATGCAGGCTATCTATGCTCTAGTAGCATTTTTACTTTACTTTCTAATAAAACTGAACAGCTACACCCTAGTAATCCTCAGATTTGATATGCATCACAAAATGTCCGTAACCCATTGAAACTGCACCAGTTTCCAGTTCTTGTCAGCTTAATTGAGACTTTGAGAGTTGAGACTATCCAGAAAGAGCACAAGAAAGTAACAGAAAACAAGTATAAACAATTATGCATTTATATCTTTATGGGAGCATCCAGCGGAAAAATAAGCATTGAGGCAAAATCCAGCAAGTAAAA